CTAGTGGATCCCCCGGGCTGCAGGAATTCGGCACGGAGGCTTTTATTCAACGTGTAACACTACTCTTAATTTCTGAGAAATAATAATGTCTCATCAGGAACAGCCACCTCATGGCGGACATGGCAAAGTAGATCAAGGACAACCAGGGCCAGGCGGACACGGTCATGGCGAAGTGAAACCAGGGCCGGGAGGAATGGGCCTTGGCGGCGGACGTCAGGATGATGGGCTTGGTCTTGGTCCCCAAGGACAGGGGAAACAACAGGGAGGAGTACCCGGTGGTCATGAAGGTGGAGGACGTCAAGGAATTGGAGGCCCCGGCCATGAAGGTGGTGGTGGTGGAGGAGGAGAAGGACATCGTGGCGATCAGCGTGCTCCGGGAGGTGGTGGAGGGGGGGGGGGGGGAATCGTCCACCGAAGGCGTATACGAGAGAAGCAAGACAGTGGACGCGTAAGTTTGTGAGGCTGCGTCGGGGTTGTGTAGGCACAGCAACAGGAAATACGCGTCCACGTGTACTTGACGTTTCCGCTCGTGTCCGCATGCTGGGGTGATGGTGGCGTCTGTCTCCCGTAAGCGAAAGCACGGGGTTGGCACAGGTTTAGTGTACTGCTCAAGCCAGGGCACCCCTTGCCGCTGCTTCTCCGCCGCAAAATGTTCCGGCGTGGAAAGCTTGAATTACGCACGGCATTGGCATGTACCTACAATATACATTTCCCCTTTTCCACTGCACAAACACTCTCCTTCTCTCAACCGCAACTCTGTGCGCATGCATCCATACATATCCCACACACAACCACTCTTCTTCTCCCACCGCACCTCTGTACGCATCCATCCCGTCCATTTCCCCTTCCACCGCACAACTACTCTCCTTCTCTCACCGCACCTCTGCGCCGCCATCCTCCTCCTCCTCTTCCCACATCTGCAGCAGCAGGAGGGGGTCAAAGGCCTCCGGGCTCAGCCCCCTAGCGGTCCACTCCTCCCTAAGCTCTTCCTCGTCCACCTCCACCACCATCTCGTCGTCATCGTCAACGTTTCCCCCCGGGTCTCCAAAGAGGAGGCCACCTGCTCCTTCGTCTATGGCACCGCTGTCGGCATCGCCGCCGCTAGCCGCCCACCGCGGCGCAAGCCGTGGTATCTGCTGCTGCTGCTGCTGCCGCTGCCGTCTCCGTCGCTGTCTGTTGGTACTGGAGGCCTCGGTGGACCAACCGGCGGCGATTCCGCCGCCGCCGCCGCCGCCCCTCCACGATCCGTGAGGGTGGCGTTGTTGTTCGCCCCCGGTTCCCCCCTGTCCCGATAAAAACGCCTTCGAAGGGGATCGTCGGGTACCCGCGAAGTGACTACTACCACAGCCACCGCCGCCGTTGACATCGGCACCGCCTCCGTGATGCTGCTGCTGCCGCCGTCGCAACCAGCCGATGCTGCCGCCAGCGCTACCCCTACCCCCCGTCCAAGAGCATGCCGGAGATGAAGAAGAAGAAAGCGCGGGGTTCGACCCGGCGGTGGGAGCTGTGAAGGAGAATCCCGTCCCTTGATAAAAAAAAAAAAAGTTTCGGTAGGCAGATGCCCGGGGCGGGGGGGGAGACACGACAACGTGTTGTGTGTGGGTGTGTGGGTCGTTAGGCCAGGGAGGTTTCCTAGACACAAGGAGGGTGGGAAGAGGTGGATGCCGGCACCCCCCTTACTACCAAAGGGTGTCAATAATGACCCAACCTGCGTACATACTCCGTATGTACGGCAGGCGACAGAGGATATAAACACCACCTGGAAAGATTAAGATTTTCAAAGCTATGGTAGATTACTCCGTGACGAGGAGGATAACAATATCAACCAATGTACAAGGCCCCCATTTTTCGGAACCACCTCTCCTCTTCTGCTGTGGAGTTGTGGAGAAATCTTAGGGAAAATAAATACACACACACACACAGAAAGACTACCCGTTCGAGATATACCCACAGCAGTCGAACGAGAAGTCTACAGCTGTCAACCACGGGACTGTCAGCTTTGCGTCCGCCTCTTGCGAGAGATCTACGTATCCTGTGTTATGTAAAAAGCGGTGGGGTTGTGTGTAGCCGTACAAGAGCAAAAAAAGTAGTGGCTAAATCCTAGCCACTTCGATGCCCGCGATTACACAACACGGCATGTGTAACAGCAAGGCCTGAGAACAAGCATCTTGCTTGCCGCACGGTTGCAACCGTTACCGTGGGACATGTCGCTGGTGTGTGGTGATCGGCCGCCGTCGCTGACGAGCTTCCTTAACAGGAGCATGGCCAACCTACAGCAGTGTTGAGCACCACCAGAATGCTGCTTCCTCATTTCGCTCCCATCATCTCCCCACCATTGAGCTCGCACGCAGCGGCAAGCTATAGCCTCTACCGCGGCCCGTGCTGCACACACGTGTGTCTGCAAAGTTCAACTGATGTAGTCCACAAACCAACAGCAGGCCACCACAGGTACCGGCTGCAACAATACCTTCGTTCAAGACGGACGACAGGATAGCTGCAGTGATCACCGCCGGTGCAACCATGACCCCTCTCCGCCTTGCTGCTCCCTTGGCGCGCTCCCCTGTGGCACTCATTATTTAGGTATATCATGTGAGCACCTTCGCAGCACGCCGGTCGTGCATACGCCAAAGCTGGCGAGATAAAAAGGTTCTCCAGCTGGAAAACGCCTCCCAGAACCACACCCTACAACGCCTCATTTGAATTGAACGGGTCACACCGCCGCAGCAACAACGGCTGGCGGCCAACGCGATAGTAGCGGCGTTCCCTTCAGCAGCTCACACCAGCCTCATACCAGTCTACGACAGCAGATGGAGGTTGATTCCGCTGCGGCTGAGGCAAGCTCTTGGCAGCTGGAGGAGGTGCTGGCTTGTAGCGAGGACGAGACGCTCGATGTTGGTGGGGAGGAGGAAGCTGCTGGGCTTCCTTTCGACGCCGCCGAAGGCGAAGATAGCGATGACGAGCCCTCGCCTGCAGGTGGTGCAGGCCTCTGGGACCCATCTCTAGGTATGGCAGGCTATAAACGTATGGGTATGGCAGGTTGGTTCGCCGTGTTGTTGGTACGTTGTTTTGTTGGTACGTTACTCATCCGCGTGCTCCGATGTTTTCACCCGCGCGCACCTGGGTTTGACTCGCTTGCACAGGGGAGATCGCGACCCTTGAAGAAGAGATAAAGAAACTAGAGTTCCCCAACCTCGAAGACGGGACCGGCAACTTTGGGGAGAAAACCATGGACAACGCAGTCGCGATGTTGATGGCGAAGACCGGACGCGGCTTCAGCCTGAAGAGAGAGAATAAAACAAAGGTGACGTTGCGTGTTTCCATGTGTTGTTGGTGTGTGCGAAAGATGCCTGTGGGCTCGGCTTTTTCGTCTCGTCCACCGTAATCGCCTTATGATTAGCGACATGCGCAGCCTCTCATGTTGGACATCCGACGGCTGCTGACATCTGAATGTGTTGCCGCCGCCCCCCTCCAGCTTTTCACGAAAAAGCAGGAAAAGAACTCCCGCATGCGAAACAGATGGAGCTCCGTATGGATCAAGTGCTGCCAGGGGGGGAAGCCGAGAGCGTGTCAACGTGTCGCGGATCCGAGCGCTCGCCGCAACACAAAGTCACAGAAGGTTTGTCTGCCTGAAGTACGAACCGATGTGGAGCTCCCGATGTTGAGCTCTCGCCACCGTTGTGTCTCGGCTCCTCTTTTTAGCGCGTCGGGTGACGAGTCATCTGACAAGTCAACGGAGGAGTCGCGATGGGAAATGGACATTGGGCGCGCTTTGTTGTTGAACTTCATTTCTTTTTGGCGCCGATTGAACATGATCGCTGCATACATGGACTTTTCGGGACATCGTCCGCGGTTGAACGTTCTGAGCTGCTGCGCTGTAGTCCCCCTCTCTCTGCAATATGAAGCGCTCGAAAACGCGAGCGTCGACGCAAGGAGTAGTTGTGTGCCGGGTCAGGACCTTTTGTTGGTCGCACGGCGGCCGCACCTCTTCGCTGTGGTCTCCGTTGTGCGGGCGATGCTCCAACGCGTTCTTCCGGCAAATTTGTTGGCTTTTCTGTTGTTGCTTGCTTGCTGGTTGCGCACCCTCTGCGCTGTAGTTGTCGAGGAAAGCACCGCAACAAGGGACGTAGGTGAGTCCACCTCCCGTGTGTATGTGTGTGTGTGTGCGGTTTGTCTTCGTGCGTATGAAACGCATGGAACGCAAATGGCGTAACGCTAAATGGCCATCGCTCTTCGCGCGGACACACATATTTCTTCTGTACCCTCACAACACTGTCGTGTTGTTTATACCCTGTCCGAATCCCAGGTGGGTTGCGAGTTCCACTTGGGGCTGTGGTGGGGGGCCGACATGAATACACCGCAAGTTGCAAAGGTGAGTTAAGTTGAGGGGAAGTACGTCGGTACAATGGATAGATCGCGTTGGATGCGTTAATGTAGGCAGCCCAAAGCTAGACATTCTTAACAAATGATGTTCACAACGCATTGCGTGGTTGAGTTCTGGCAACCTGTTCAGAAGGAAGGTGGTAGCATTTGAAGGTGGTAGCATTTGAATTTTTGTGCGTGTCTCGTAGGTCGCCTCTCGACAACAAAGAGCAATTGACCAACCACGCGGAAGCACGCCCGTTGCATGTGGATGAGGTCAACTCAACGTTCGCGAGGTGGTATGTCGTCGGTACTGCGTATGCACGACGGACTCGAGGCTTCCCAGGCGGCCCACACCAGAGATCCTTTGCAATGACGGGGACAAAACACAACCAGAGTAACAATACATTAATAGTCGCCGGCATTTCTACATCATGTTGTGTGGTGGCGCGTTTGGTTGACAAGTTTAGTGCTCTGCTCGTTGTGCCCCGTGCTTGCTAGACGAAACCTGGGAGGAACGGTCGCCCGAGTGGCTGTGCAGGGACACTCGTATGTGGAAAGCTTCAGGACCAAGCACCTGCGAACGTTCAACTTCGTCCTGAACGCAGTGAAGTACGAGCAGTGCAGCCAGCACGCCACGGAGGTTAGTTGTGGCGGCCTTCGCTTGCGGCGATGGACGGACCCAGATTTTTTCTCCCCCATTACACCTAACCGTACCCCCCTCAGATGCGGTGCCTGACCAAGGAAAGTCACAGCGACGCGGCCATGAGTTGTGTCTTTTCCCCCCATTTCCTTCACTCGCCAACCCGACTTCTGCGTGCCCGCTTGTATAGCACAAGGTTATGTAATGGAGTTGTACTTGCCTTCGAGTTGTGGAAGGCGATCAGTCTTTGTGGGCAGCACCAACGACGCTGCTGGTATTCATGTCAATGCCGAACCTGACTTCCCTCCCGAACCCCCCCCCCCCCCCTGTCGCACACCGCCCTTACCCATGGGCATGCCGTGTTGGCAGGACACTGAAGCACAGATCCTCGGGGCTCTCAGTTACGAGGCGATACCTGTCGTGCGTGACGAAGAGGCGGCGCGGAGACTGTTCGAGGAGTTGGTGGCAGACCCGACGAAGGCGAACCTCACGTACGACACCGGCTCCGGAGAGTTGGTGGACCCTTCAATACCGACGTCCGAAGCCGCTGGTGTCTCCATGGTGTCCCGCACATCCGTGCCTCACTTCGCGGAGTTACTTCGTGACCAGAACGTCCACACGGTGGTGCGCATCACACCGATGTCTACGGCGTCCGAGTGCGGTCACCTCGTCGCCCTTGGACCGGACGGCTTCTTCCTCTGCACGTGCCTGCGGCAGCTCGTCTACGGGCTACTTTGCCCGCACGCCATCAAGGCCTTGTGGTACTAGCGTGCCTCCCAATTCAACGGAGCAACCATTTCACCAAGGTGGCGTGACAGTGAGACGTCATGGACGATGGCAGCGCTGGCCGCTAAGCCTGCCAAGCTATCGACCGGAGCTGCGGGGCTGACGGGACCTGCGGGGCCTACCGGACAGATGCCGCCCGTCGACACCAGTCCGATCGTGTCGTCCCACTCCGGACCCAACTTGTCGGCCTACGCGTACGCCAACGGCGTCGCCTTAGGGAAGGAGCTGGGTGGTATGTTCAAAGAGGTCCCGTCTGTGGCGAGCATCCAACGCTTGATGGAGTCCATGAAGCTTCACGCCAAGCAACAAATCGAGGTGGAGAAGCGGTCGTTACGAGACGAGTCAACGAGCCGGGTGTTCACGGGAACTCTCCCCCGGCCCACCCCTGCCCTGCCGCAGGGAGACGCCGGGGACCCTGGTCGGGGGGGGCGCGGCCGGGGGGGAAAGGGGTCTACCGGAAGAGGACGGGCAGGGGAAAAGGGTGACCCTGGAAGCAGCAGCCAGGGAAGCGGTGGCGGTGGAAACGGCGGCCGGCGAAGCGGTGGCAGGGGCGGAGGGACAGGCCACGGGCGCGCAGGGGGGGGCGTAAACTCTGCTGGTTTCGCTACGGGTTCGCCGAGCGGTACCACGGGGGTTCGCCGAGCGTCCCACCCTCCGGCAGGATCGGACACCACCAGCGCCGCGCCTATCGGCTTCCAGGCGGCACCCGTCAACGGGGCGCACACGTCCGAGGGCTTGGCGTTGCCGTTTCGTGCCCTGGACAACGTGGACGTTTCTCGTCGCGGGGGGGGGCAGGCTTCTCCACCGTTCCAGACGACCGCCCATCTTGTTCAGTTGGGGCGTCTGCAACCACCGCCCCGTAAGAAGCAAACGGGGCCCAGCAAACGACACAAAAGTAGTAGTGCGCCGTAGTGGAGGAGACCGTTTACCTGTAGGACACGTCAGGAAAATGTAAAGCGTGTTGCCGATGCCTTACTCGGCGTTGCATTCGCTTTGTTACCGTTGGCGCGTGTTGGTTTGCGCGCGCGTGTGGATGTGTGTTGCGTGTGTTGGGGGGTCTGCCAACAGCATCTGTTGTGTCGGATTGGTATTATTTCCTTCGGTAGCCGGCCCGCCGCAGCAAGGAGAAGGGGGATTCGCTTGGAAAACCATTGCCGGTTGGCAGGGGTGGAGGGGCAAGAGTCTCTCGACCCCGCGGAGTCTTCGTTCTTCCCCGTGTCCGATATGTTTTGAGTTTTTTTTTGCGCGTTGGATGAGAGTACCGCTGGTCCCTTTATCATGACCACTCATTGGAATTAAGTTGCAGCCTTGATTCGGCTGACACATGGGAGGAAGCGCCCTGAACCGCCAGCAGTAGTAGGTTATGAGGCGGTTCTTCTCACGCTAGACCAGCCGCTGGTTGATTTTCGGTGTGTACGATATGCTTCAAATTTTAACGACAGATACAGTAGCTAGGTAGCTCTTCTGTGTTGTTCTTGCTTCGAAGTATTAGAAAATGTCGAGCGTTGTTTTTTGGCAGAAGAAGCAACCCGCGCTGACTACAATACTAGAACAGCAGCAGCACGTTGGGTGCGCATGTTGCGTGCAGATTCATAGTAAACATTCGCCGCGTGCAGCGAAAGCACATTCACAACAAGCCCCTGATCGATCCGGGCCATGCTTGCTTGCAGCGGAAAAATGAATGTTCTACCGACAAGGCTTGCGTATACTACAGACACGCCCGCTGCTGGAGCGTTGATGGTGACGCTGCTGATGGGGGGGGAGAAAGAGACACCAAATACATGTAGATGTATGTTGTGTCCGAATCGATGTTCGACCCACCCAATATCTCTCAATATTCCAACGAGGAAACCCTTCTCTGGGTCAATATCGTACTCCCGTAAGAACTAACGATTGATATTGTTGACCTTACCCTTCAGGATACCCCCGCCAGGCGGGTACAAATGTAATCGCCTACTTCGTAAGTACTTTTTTTGACATATTGGACCATGAGTTTTTCCCTGTATGCATTTATATGATGCTAAATAACTACCGTATTACTATAAGAATAGCCCCTCGGGGGGCTCAACTGAAGCCCATATTTATATCTATAACCATCACGTGCATCCATTCACTCCTTCATTTTGTCGACACGACATACTTGCAACAACGCCGCCGGCACACGTTCTTCTACACTTGTCCATCCCATCACGAAGAACGACGATGGTCATGCGCTTCTTTCTGCCGGGTCGTCTGCTCCTCCGGCACTCACAGGCACACCGCCCTTCACCGAAAAATGGCTGTTTCTGCCATTACGGGCATCACAATACAGCAAGCATCAATCGGATGAAAAAGAACACACACACATACGCGTATACAAGCATTCCACCAGAATACAACGAAGAATGAAGAGCGAATTATATACTGTCATCAGGACAACAAACAAGCAAGCATGATGACTTGTCCACTCTCTCGTCGAGGAGGACAAGTATCGCATCATCCATCCCCTGTCCCCTATCTGTCGCCTCCTTTCTTCACCACGGAACAGTCACCGAAATCTACCAACACTGCCAAAGGCGGTAAAAAAAAAAACGGGCCCGCGCGTCCGACTCCAAAGAACCCCTCTGCCCGACATCCAACAAGTCGACACCCAAAACAAGTTGGAAAAGAAGAAAAAAAAACGCAGAGCTAGACAAACAAAGCGTACCGGTTGTTGCTGCTGCTGCTACTGTAGTGCGGCATCGCACCGCTCGTGTAAAAACAACGCAGGACAACACACGCCGAACAGGCATCATCGCCCCGCAAAATTAAGCAAGCATGCATGCCAGCTTCACGGACTACAAGGCGCCGAAAACCTCTCAACGACAGGCGCTCCCTGATCCCGCGCCGCGGGGACATTTAACCTCAAAAATAAGGACGCGCCCCATCTAGCGGCGACCCTTTGGCGAAAGCCCTATCCTTTCAAGCCGTCGGCCGAACCTCAACGCTCCAGGCCCTTTGGGGATGGTCCAGGAGTTACTCTGCCGAATCTGTCTACTTCGTTCGGGAAACCGAACCTAAAGAGAACTGCACCGAAAGCTGTTCAGAGAACTGGTTGGTATCCATTTCCCCCCCTCACAATCTACAAACGTTAAAAAAGAAACTGGGAACGGCGACGTGGTAGGTGCCCATGAACCCTTGCCGGCCTCCCACTTGCAGCAACGAAAACCACCTGTCTTTCTTCGGGCACGGTGCCGTAATGCGCTAGCTGGTGGCGGCGGCTTGGGACTATACATGTTGTAGCGCGGCCAAAGACACACACACACACACACGCACACACCTACAACGTAGCTAGCGCCCGCCACAGGAGGAGACGTGTTCGCCACGATGTCACTGGCGGGCTGGGACTAAAAAAGATGCCTGGTGCGTGCTTCGAAACGGATCACAACCGCGCTTTATGGGGCAGCGAGCAACCACACATCTTAGCGGGCGCTCCAGTGTTTACCCGGCAACGCCCCACGACGTGGTGGTGGCGAAATCCTATCTCAAAACATTATGGGTATGTACTCTTTGCATGGACATTGCTTCAACTCCAACGGTTACGAAAAATCACACCAACACCGAAGCGCGCGCGTTTCCAACCGAGGGTAGACACACGTGAGCTCATGTTCCAGTATGCAAAGAACTCGGAATACTCAACTTCTACCCCCCCCCCCCTGATGTATATTGCGTATAAAGTAAAAGAGTACCATAGAGCACTACGCTCCCAAAGTGTCGTGCAATAGGTATCGTATCAAGCGACCGCCGAAGCGATCGACTCGCGTTCTCCGGCTAAACAAATGTTGCGTCAGCCAGGAGATATTCCAGCACCATCATGGCCCAGCAGGAAACCCGCCCTCACCACAGCACCTGTAGCGACGAGAGACCAAAACAGCCACTACACAAGGTCCCCGGAGGGATTTTACATACCCCCCAATTCTCAGGGGAGGAAACCTAGGAACGGCGTTCTTCCTCTCACTCGGCTGACAGCACACAAGTCGCGGGGACGGTCCGAATGATACAACGGGCAAACAAAAAACGAACCGTCGCCGTGGCGAGCCATGACGAGAAGGGGGATGACAGCAGCAACTTCCGAAGATAAAATCGGCCTCGATAATGCTTCATGTCACACCCGTGATACAATAATTAATACTTCGTACTGAATAGATATGCATATGATCATTACCAGCCCGGGGTTGACAGAACCACCGCCCCCGCCAAACATCCCTCCAGCGACAACAGACACGCTCGGCCCGATGAGCAGGTCAATGTTCGCTACCGGTACGTGCGTGACCTGCCCGGACTCGATCGATACAGGGGGAAGGACATCCTCCACCCCGAGCTCCGGCATTCCTCTGTCTTCCGATGCCATGACAACCTCCTCTACGTTCTACAAGTACGTCTTAGCAAGACTCTCCGCATCGGAAACGCCCCCCCCCCCCCCC